AATTGCTTTTGTCTTTAAATAAAAAGATTGGTTGAGTATACATCCTTTTAGATGTACTCCCTCTGACCCATTTGTGTCAATTACCTTTTAAAGAATCATTTTTTTAAAGACAACACCAAGGGTTGTGATTCTCTTGTGTAGAGGTGAGGGAAGGTTAGGCTTGACCCCAACCATGTCTATTAATTCCCATAAAAGATACAATGTTGGACGGGGTCATGAACCAACACCTTTTAAATAAGATAAAGAGTTTACTTCAACTAGAAAAATGTCAAATCCCCATCACGAGGATAAGATATGAGAAGAGGAATTTTAGTTAGCTAAATATTTTCACTAACTGTCTTGTAGAAATGGATGCATAGGCCAATCATTTTCTCAGTGGAGGTTATTTTGGTATAGGTGATGATAGTTTGAAATTTTTGGTTCATGACCCCGACAAACTTTTTATCTTTATTAGGAATAAATGGACATGGTTTGACTCAAGCCTAACCCCCCACATTACACTAGTGACTCACAATCGGTGGTGATGGCTATAAAGATGATTCTCTAAAAGGTAATAGACACAAATTGGTCAGAGGGGATACATGAAAATATATTTAACTGTTCTCTACCAGACTTTTTCTCTTAAGTTAAAAACAATTGTTATGTCAATATACATATAAATAATTCCAAAACTCAAATTTCTAGGTCAATATTAGATGTATATTGACTTAACAATTGCTTTTGACTTAGGAAAAAAAGATTGGTAGAGTATATTATTTTAGATGTACTCCTTCAGACCTATTTGTGTTAATTACCTTTTAAGGAATCATTTTTTTAAAAGTCATCACCAAGGGTTGTGATTCACTAGTGTATGATGTGTGCGCGGGGGGGGGAGGCTTGATCCCAACTATGTCCATTATTTCCAAAAAATATACAAAGTTGGACGGGGTCATGAACCATAATCTTCTATGTAAGTTAAAAGTTTACTTCAACTAGAAAATGCCAACGCCCACTATGAGGAGAAGACATGAGAAGAGAAATTTTTGTTAGCTAATTTTTCCATTAATTGTTTTATAGAAATGTATGTATAGGTGATCATTTTCTCTCCTGCGGTGGAGGTTCTTTTGGTGGAGATGATGATAGTTGGAAATGTTTGGTTCATGACCCCGTCCAACTTTGTAAATATTTTAGAAATTAATGGACATGGTTGGTGTCAAGCCTAACCCACCCTCTACACAGTGCGTCACAACCCTGGATGATGGCATTAAAAAATGAACTTTTTAAAAGGTAATAGATACAAATGGGTCATAGGGTGATGGGTCATAGGGTGTACATCTAAAATGATATACTCTACTAGTCTTTTTCTCTTAAGTTAAAAACAAATTGTTATGTCAATATACATTTAAATGAACCCAAGAAAATCATATTTCTAGGTCAATAATTAGATGTATATTTGACATATCGATTTCTTGTTGACTTAAGATAAAAAGATTGGTAGAGTATATCCTTTTAGATGTACTCTCTCTGACTTATTTGTATCAATAAAAGATAATAGATACAAATGGATCAGAGGGTGTACGTCTAAAAGAATATACTCTACTAGTCTTTTTCTCTTAAGTTAAAAACAATTGTTATGTCAATATACATCTAAATAAACCCAAGAAAATCATATTTCTAGGTCAATAATTAGATGTATATTGACATATCGATTGCTTTTGACTTAAGATAAAAATATTGGTAGAGTACATCTAAAATTACAGCCTTCTAGATGTCTCCCTCTAACCTATTTGTATCAATTACCTTTAAATAATATATTTTTTTAAATCCATCACAAAGGGTTGTGAGTCACTAATGCAGAGAGGGTGTTAGGCTTGACCCCAATCATGTCCATTAATTCCTAAAAAAGATATAAAGTTGGACAGGATCATGAACCAACACCTTACAAGTGAGGTTAATATTTTATTTCAACTAGAAAAATTTCAATTCCCCACCTTGAGGAGAAGGTATGAGAAGAGAAATTTTAGTTATCTAAATCTTTTCATTAACTTTCTTGTAGAAATGAATGTATAGGTTGATCTTTTTCTGACCTGCCGTGGAGGTTGTTTTTGAATAGATGATGATAGTTGGAAAAGTTTGGTTTACTATCCCGTCCAACTTTGTATCGTCTTTGAGAACTAATGAGCATCGTTCGGTTCAAGCCTAATCCCCCTTCCCTCTACACCAGTGACTCACAACCCTTGTTGATAGCTTTAAAAAAATGATTCTTTAATAGGTAATAGACACAAATGGATCAGAGGGAATCATATAAATGTACTCTTCTTGTCTTTTTTTGATCTTAAGCTAAAGTCTATTGTTACATCAATATACATCTAAATAAACCCCAAAAAATCAAATTTCTAGGTTAATATTTATATGTATATAGACGTAACATTTGCTTTTGGCATAAGATAAAAGGATTGGTTGAGTACGTTCTTTTAGATGTACTCCCTTAGACCTATTTGTGTCAATTACCTTTTAAAGAATCATTTTTTAAAGTCATCACCAAGGGTTTTGATTTGTTGGTGTAGGGGGGGGAGTAGGCTTGACCCTAACCATGTCCGTTAATTCCGAAAAAATATACAAATTTTGATAGGGTCATGAACCAACACTATCTAAGTCAGGTTAAAGGTTTACTCTGACTACACAAATGTCCACTCCCCAACATGAAAAGAAGATATGGGAGAGCAATTTTAGTTAGATATATCTTTTCATAACTATATTTTAGAAATAGATGTATAGGATGATACTTTTGTCACTTGCAGTACAGGTTTTTCGGTGTAGATGATGATAGTTGGAAAATTTTAGTTTTTTACCCTATCCAACTTTGTATCTTTATGGGAAGTAATGGACAAGTTTGGGGTCAAATCGAACCCCACCCCCCTACACTAGTGAATCACAACCATCATGATGAATTTAAAAAAAATAATTTTTATAAGGTAATAAGTATAAATGGGTCAGAGGGAGTACACTATATGTACTCTACCAGTCTTTTTTTCATAAGCTAAAAGAAATTGTTACGTAAATATACATCTAAATAAACCCAAAAATATAAAATTTCTAGGTCAATATTTTGATGTATATTGACGTAGCAATTGATATTGACTTAGGCTAAAAAGATTGGTATAGTACATCCTTTAGATTACTCTCTCTAACCTATTTGTGTCAATTACCTTTTAAAGATTCATTTTTAAAGCCAACACCAAGGGTTGTCATACACTAGCGTAGATAGGGGTTAGGCTTGACCCCAACTATGTCTATTAATTCCCAAAAAGGATACAAAGTTGGACGGGGTCATGAATCAACACCTTCTAAGCAAGGTTAAATGTTTACTTCAACTAGACAAATGTCAACTCCCAATCACTAGGAGAAGATAGGAGAAAAGCAATTTTTGTTAGCTAAATCTTTGCATTAACTGTCTTGTTGAAAGGGATATATAGGTTAATCATTTTCTCACCTTCAGTGGAGGTTATTTTGGTGTAGATAATGATAGTTGGAAAGAATTAATTCATGACCTCGTTAAACTTTGTATCCTTTTTTTGGAATTAATGTACATGGTCAGGTTCAAGTCTAACCACCTCCCCCCCACCCCCTCCCTCCCTCTCTACACCACTGCCTCACAACCCTTGGTTATGGCTTTAAAAAATAATTCTTTAACAATTATAGATAGAAATAGGTTAGAGAGGGTACGTCTAAGATGATGTATTCTACCTGTCTTTTTCTGTCACTCCCACCATGAGGTGAAGATATGAGAAGGAAATTTTTGTTAGCGGAATCTTTTCATTAACTGTTTTGTAGAAATGGAACTAGGATGATCCTTTTCTCATCTGCAATGCGGTTTATTTTGGTGTGGATGATAATAGTTGGAAAGGTTTGATTCATTACCCGTCTAACTTTGTATTATTTTTGGAAATTAATTGACATGGTTGGAGTCAAGCCTACCCCCTCCCCCCTTCCTACCTACTGCACTGACTCACAAGCCTCGGTGATGGCTTTTAAAATGATTCTTAAAAAGGTAATAGACACAAATAGGTCCGAGGGAGTATATCTAAAATGATGCACTCTACTAGTCTTTTTTATATTAAGTTAAAAGCAATTGTTACATCAATGTACATCTAAATAAATCCAAATAAAATCAAATCTCTGGGTCAATTACATAATAATTACTTTTGACTTAAAAGAGAAAAAGATTGGTAGAATACGTCCCTTTTTAAGTGTACTTCCTTTGACCTATTTGTGTTTACCTTTTAAAAATCATTCTTTTAAAATTACTTTTATTTTTTAGTGTAGCTGAGGTTTCAACCCCAACAAATTTTATTAAAATTAGTGGAGGGTTATAGAAATCCCTCAATTCAATGCAATTTGAGATCTTGATTGTAATCCCCACAATCTTTTTTGGTAAATAAATAGTTTTACTAACCAAAATGAGTAATACAAATCACTTGGAAAAAAATCAGCATGGACATCTCCAGGACTATATAGTTTCAGCATCAAAACAATTTATTCCTAGTCTTTGGTTACCCTATCCCTCCCATATCAGAAGTTAATTACACAGGGTACCAATCTACTAACTGCAGTTTCATGCTCAATTTCACTTTTATCCCCCCCTCTTATGTGGACTTCTTGGATAATATTTTTTACTAGAACATCATAGTTTAAGCATGTGATGTCTAAAGTTTCTTTTAGGCATATATAGAATTTTACTGGTATGTTGGTATTATTGTAATAAATAATTTTGTTATTTGTTTTCTCCTAACAGTACTAGCACCCCACAGTGCATATATATCATGACTAAACAACTTACATTGTTAGGGAAACAGTAAAACAATTATTACAAAAATAATGAATGAAATTATTTAAATAAATTTATTAGGTAGAAAAAATCTCATCAAAAGCGATGGCTAAACCTCTCCCACAAATAAAAAAATCATATAGTTTATGAATATAAAATTGAAGTAGATATAAGTTCTCAACTATATATATACATATAAAGCTTAATCTTAGTCATTGGTAAACAAAATTGAAAATATGGAGAGGTTCATTGTCATTGTAGATATGTCCAACAGGTTCCAAGGTCAATCCCTCACTACATCTGCAAAACCTGCTAATGGTAAAAATAGAGAGTACAATTTCATATTTTTTCCGTTTCAATTCATGTGATAGTATTTAAATTTTGTGAATTAAATAAATTTTTTCTTCATCGTAATTTAAAATATGTATTTAAATATTTTAAAAATTATTAATTGTTATGTTTAATTATACTTTTCACATAATTTTATATTCAAATTCATGAGTAAAATTAAAAAATTTGATTTTCAAAATTACGCATAAAATTGAGAAAGAGGAAGTAGAATTTAAATCCTTCTATGGCTCTGAATTTTGATGTATTAATTCAACTTTTAACATTTCAGGTAACATCGTAGAACAAAGTGTGGGTGTAAGTTTCCTCCTCCTCAATTTCCTTTGTGTTTTTTTTTTATAAAAAAATATTTAATTTTACTATTCGTTAAACTGTTGATTCATATATCCTTATCTGTTAGCAAATTATTTTGTATTTATCTTTAACACTAATAAAGCTCCAACACGTAAATGGGTGGACCTATGTGTCAATATTTTAGGGAAAAATATTCAATATTTACTATTCAACTTTAGAGTATAGTTTAAAATTACCCTCATGTTATGAAGCTCTATTAGGGATTAATTTTTTTTTCAGAAAAATAGTCAATATTTACTTTTAACTTTTAGAGTATAGTTTAAAATTACCTTCATGTTATGAAGCTCTACAAGGGATTAAAATTATTTTACATGACTATAAATTATTACTAAAAATAAAATGAGAAACTTAGGGTGCATGTATTTGATTTGAAGGGAATATTTTTTACGATTTTTTTTTTAAAAAAATAAATTATTATTTTTTAACTTATTTCTAGTGTTTGATAAGTAAAAATAGATGTTATTTCAAAAACATTTTGTAATGATCATGTTGAAGGCATTAAATGGATGCGGAAGATACAATAAATATAGAAGGTTGGTTATAGAAACTGTTTTATCTTAAAAGAATGGCGTTTTCCTCATTTATATTTAGGCAACTTATTTTCTCTGAAAAAATATGTTTCAAAAAAATTTGTTCAATTAAATATGGGAAAATTAGAAAATTTTCTAGATTAATACTAAGGGCATGTTTGGACATATGATAAAAATCAGATTTATATGATGTTGAAGTTTATTTGAATATATAAAATTTGATTTTCTTTAAGTTATATTTTATTTATGAACATCCACCCCTTCCACCCAAAAACGAAAACAGCATGCAAACCTTACAAGTTGTAAAAAAGGCAAAATAAATATATTAGACTTTAAACTTGGCTTCAAATTTAACTTTGATTTTCAACTTTCATAATGAACAAACAGACACTTTAACTATCCAACTTTCAAATAAATAAACACATGAGTCCTGCATGACACAATACACGTAGGACACCATGTAGAACAAAAAATGACATGTAGGACATGTGTGTCTATTTGTTCAACTTTATATAAGCTTAAGTGTCTATTTGTGCACATCCAATATTAAGAGACATAAATGTGATTTGAAGTCAAATTAAAGAGCACATTTATGTATTATGCCTTGTAAAAACTATCAGATTTTTTCTAATGTTTATACAATGTTCCCATATGAGCAAACGTTAATTCATAAATAAATACCAAAATATTCAAACATGATGAATAATTGATAAATCACATATATTGATATCCTTTCTATAAACTTTTAAGGCATAATATATATATTGAACCCTAAATTTGGCTTTAAATTTTAACTTTGACCTCCAACTTTCATAATGCACAAACAGACACTTCAACTATATAACTTTTAAGTAAATAAACACATGAGTCCTACATGACACAATACACGTAGGACATCACGTAGGACAAAAAATGACATGTAGGACACATGTGTTTATTTGTTCAACTTTATACAAGTTTAAGTATTTACTTGTGCACACCCAAAGTTGAAGGACATAAATGTGATTCGAACCCAAGTAAAAGGGCATAATTATATACATAATTTTATAATTATCCACAAATCAATAATAATTGTAATTACTTAGTTATTCTTTAATATAATCTTATCACGTGGTAAGAATAACCTCTTCACGTATTAGTCTTTTTTGGCAAATTTAAAATTTATGAGTCTATTCTTTTATTTACAAAATATAATTTATAGGTCAGGTTTTACAATATAAAAGATTTGAAATCATGATTTAAAATTCTAAATCATGCATTTTGGAAATTTGAGATTTGAAATCATGAACTCAAATTGAATGCCCAAACACTATTTTAAATTCATAACTTCATATTATACGTTGAAATACAAGCTAAATATATATAAAAAAAAGTTATTTTTTAACTAACTAAAAACAAATGAAATTATGGCATAAAAATAATATATATGTCTAAGATGTATGGATTAGAAAAACACATTTTTTCATGCAATATAATTTTGTAGCTAATGAAGATCATTTTCTTGAAATATTACAGGGAAATGAAACAAAAAACACACAAGGACCAGTGTTACATGAAACAAGAGCTAAAACAGCAACACCTCTAGTGAAACCAGCTTCTCCTAAGACTGGTTGATTATTAATTACTCCTACCGTCTTAATTATGTTATGTAATTTGACTTATTATAAAAAATCAATAAATAAAGAAAAATCTATGAAGAAAGTTTTCTTTATGGAATGGTTAAAAAGAATCTACAGATATAAATATTAAATTTATTATATTCTGAAAAAAATTGCTCGTATTTTTTTCAATTTATTTACCCATAGTATTTGTTTCTAAAGAAAATTCAATTCTTCCATACCTTAACTACTTTTTTTTCTTCATTATATAGTCCTATTTTTCTCAAGTATTACACATATAAAATTCTTTTTTTCCCAATTGGCACTTAGGTGTTCAACAATGTTATCAAAGCTCGATTAAATTTAAAATTTCTCAATAAAAACAATTTTATATTTAAGAAGATACAAACTCAAAATATTTTAATTAAAAATAGAATAATATTCACTCCACCGCAAACTTTCTTTCACCCAAGCTGGAAGATCCCACGGTGCATATAAATTCCCATAACCCATGCAATTCCAAAACCACAGTCACTTTCGCTAAGAAAACAATTCATTGAATATGAATTGTGGTAAAGGAATATATCTTATATTATATTTTATTTAATCAGAAATTAGAAATTTGAATTCTTTAATATAATATAAAATTTTTGATACAAATTTGAATTCAATCCAATATGGACAAAAAAACTCAACCACACCATCTAATACAGAGGTGTAGACATTAAAATTTTGTAGGACTTTACAATATGCGTTCAATTCAAGTTGGTACTATACAAATCGTGTTCAATTCAAATTAGAATTCTTAGAGGCTACTCAATCATAAACTCTAGTTTATATCTATATAAAGGATATAAAATTCTCTTAAAAGACATCTCTAAAATTCCATAAAGAGATCAACATCTCTAATAATCAGCAAAAATTGATGAATTATTTGTATAGAGAGGTCAAATCATGAAATAGTATCCGCAATCTATCTTGATGGATAAAATCATATTTCTTCATATTTTAGTTGTATGGTTTATTTATTTATCATATATTTAAAATTTATTACAAACAAGAGACAGAGCTAATTACAATTTATATATAATTAAATTATTTTCTATATTTATATATTAATTATATGTCAAATCTTTTTTAACTACACGTTCATTTGTTTACTTGTGTTAATTTTCCTTAGGTGAAAATTAAGAATATTCATGGTTAGATTGGTTTGGAATTTTCAAATATCTAATCAAATCATTCATATGGAATTTTTAGATTTATAAATCAACCAAATTAATAAAATTTGAGTTTATTTTGTAATTAAAACTAAATTAATTCAGGTATAGTTGGATATTTTGTTTCCAATATCAAAATTAAATGGGATAATGCACAAGTACCCCTCAATCTCAGAAATTTCAGAGACACACTTATACTATACTAAAATCCTATTACCCCTGAACTTATTTTATTAATAATTTTCTATTCCTTTTCGACCTAGGTGACACTATCTTGTCAAAAAAGGTAAAAAATTACTTATAAAATAAGTTTAGGGGTAATAGAACCTTAGTATAGTATAAGTGTATCCCTAAAATTTCAGACATAATTTGAGAGAGTAATTATAGATTTTCGCAAATCAAATCAAACTACTAATTTTAGATTATTTTTTCTAATTTAACACAAGTTACGAATTGATTCAATTTTCTATTTAATTTTATACACTCGACTAAAAATTGTGACCGTGGACTGTTTCTATATAGTCGCCCAAGTCCCACCAATACTTTTTCTTTTAGCCATCCAATGTTATTTCTCTCACATTGAGTCATTTATTTATCCACACAATTTGAAAAGAACGTTAAAGAATCATTGGACATCCACGTCTTTTCAACTTCTCTATCCAATAATTATACAACACCTTACACCAGACATACCTTTTCTTAGACGTGGACTCTTCACAATCACCACCAAAACCTAACTCCACAATTCACCCCCTCAACACGACTTCTTTTGCAAAATGGTCCTCTCGATTTTCGGAATGTATAATTTTTTTTTAGTCCAATTGATAGATGAATTTCCTTTTACATCTTCGTATTTCGATTTTATTTATTCACATGTGTCATTAAGAATCACTTTTTTTTAAAAATCTTTTCAATTTGATTTCTTTTTCAATCAAAATATAACTGTTAAAAAAACTAAATAAACCAAAAAAAAAATCAAAATTTAGAAAATTTAACTTTATGTTAATTTGATTTAATATATAAATTTAAATGAAAAATCAAACCAAGGACCAAAATAGAAGAGCCTCAAAGTTGTAGGACTCTTTGAGTAAAAATAAAATTCTCCATAATATTACTCCATGCATCTAATAATAAACCCACATTTTCTCTCTCTCCCACTTTTCAAGAATCATCTCTTATTAGATTCTTCAATGGCCTTGAGAGCTGGACCGGTTTTCTGTGAACTTAAACCACAAACTCAGAAGGCTGAACCGGCCGGTTTTATTCCGGTTCAGAAGTTGAGAGTTTCAGAACCGGGGCAGGAGATTGGGAAAATCATGTTGCAGCCTAGATTGACTACTTTAAGATCATTCGGGTCGGATCCTGTCGGAGTGATAAAGACGAAGAACGGAGCTTTTAATGGCGAAGATAGTGAGGTTTCGCCTTTTTTCGCTACGCTATCGGAGTATATTGAGAGCTCTAAGAAGAGTCATGATTTTGAAATTATATCTGGTCGACTTGCCATGGTAATTAACTTCCCCAATTTTCTGGTTCTATACTCAAAATATATATATATTTCTTGTTTTTCCATAACATGTCTTTGATATGAAATAACTCATAAATATATATATATATATTTTTGTAATTATAATCCGAGGAGGATTCAGGATTTGAACCGGACATAAAATAGGCATATTGCTTATATTACTAAATCAATCTTAGATTTTGATTTCACACAAAATTCATAAATCATAACTTTTTTTAAATAATTTTATATATATTATTCATTTATAAATATTTCTCGACGAGTTAACATATTTTAAATTACTTATGTTTGTAAATATGTCCCTAGCTAACAAACTAAACAGATCACGTTAATATTAATTATCACTCTTAAAGCTATTTCTAACACTTCTCCACCAAACAAATAACTACTAACAAATTATAAAAAAATAAAAATTAATAAATTAAATTAGTCAACAATAATTACTAATTAAAACAAAGTCAACTAGAATTTAAAAGAAAAAAGGAAATACAATCTCCAAAATATAAATTGTTGAAGCTGAATTCTTCATTATGCGAGTTTTTTTTTAAATGTTGTTATCCGAATGGGCTGTTACCCATAATTATACAAATTTCTTCACTTGAATTTTTTTAATCTTTGAGATTCGATTCGGGGTCTGAAAGGCGGGAGTACCACCGACCAGTGGCACCACAACACCTTTTGGTTCTGTGGGAGCCATTTGTTTATTTATACAAATGGTACATATATATACCTACGTCGCATTTTGATCGAAGCTCGTGAATAACGTGGCACTCCCACGAGCCTAAGTAGATCCGTCACTGCTTATAACTCATAAATAATTTGTATAAATTTTATGGCAACACATGTTTCTTTCCTGTCAAATATATGGTATTAATAAAATAATTCTTAATGATGTTAGTACATAAAACGTGAATTCTATAGAGAGTTTTATATATTATCACATAAAATTCTAGAATATTCTTAGTTAATTTTGTGTATATGTATGTGGTCCAGATTGTGTTTGCAGCAACAGTGTCTATGGAATTTGTGACTGGAAATTCTGTATTCAGAAAGACTGATTTTCAAGGAATAGCTGAAGCTACTGGGGTTTGTGTTGGTGCAGTGGCTTGTGCTGCTCTTTTTGCTTGGTCTTCCAGTTCTCGCACCCGTGTTACCCGAATTTTCACCCTTGGTTGCAACACCTTCATCGATTCCTTAATTGATCAAATCGTCGATGGCTTATTTTATGAAAACGAGAATATTGATTGGACTGATGATGATATCTAGACCACAAAAATTAAAAAAAAAAAGAAAAGAAAAATAAAGTGTTATAATTAAGTAGTTGATTTTATCTAATGTTTCAAGTACAATGTGTTTCATTAGGACCTTTGGTTAATCATCTCAGTTTCTCATCAGGCCTAGTCCCTAAATCCCTAAATTAAATAGGACGCTTATATTGAGATCATGCCGCATCAGCTATTTCAGTTACTACTATATGTGTTGCACCTACAGTGGCAGAGAGTTTGATAAGACTTTCGAATAAGAAAGATCGATCATGAATAAGCTTCAACGGATTCTCATTATGAATCTTTTTATAAATAAGGAGCTATTTATAGGCAGATAATTGTCAGGTCAGTATAGTCGGAAAGAAGCTTGCTTACTATGTTGTAAATATATATATATATATATATATATTTAAAAGATTATTATTATCATTATAAAGAAAGTTATAGTACAATAATAATAGACCATCAAAAGAGAAGGATGCCATAAGTGAAAATGGCAATAAGAAGTTGTTATCAAATATTTTTCACTTTATGTATATTTGTTTGAGATTTATGGAGAGAATGTGTTGTTCTCTATTGGGACATGATGTTGTATATTTCAATTTCAAAAATTAATTAGCTGGATATCTGCATACGCTGTGGCTTTAATTAAATAAAATTGCAACTAATAGCTAATTCTATAATTCTTAATATTTTTTTATTAAATCAGTTTAAATAAAATATATTTTTTTCTAATTCAATAATTCTTGAATTTCAACATTTTACATTCTAAACTTATAACAAATGATGTTTTCTCCTAGGCAACAACACAACAACAAAAAGAAGCATGGAAGAAAAAATAATTGAGATGGTAAGATGACTGAGGAGTTTGTTCCAAGGCACCTATTGATGCGATTGATAAAGCAGAATCACATGACAGTGTCAACAATTTTAACGAGATCCAATAAATCTATGAAGATATGATGAACTATCAAATATATATTGTTAGATAGATTTGAAGAGGAAGACAAGAGGAACACACTCCGGGTTACTTTAGAAGGACCATCTATCTTTTTAGTTCTTAGTTTTGTAAAACGAAGTTTGAGTTTAATTACTCAAATCTC